GGTCCGGGCTGGGGATTCGAACCCGCCACCTTAGGTGTACGCGGCTGGCGCCTTAGCCGGTTGAGCTATAGGCGCCGAGCCAATCTACCCCTCTTGGCCTCCAAGAATACTAAGATTACAAGTGTGAGCCACTGCTCCCAACCTATGTTAATTTTATTTTTTGATACAGAGTCTCACTCTGTTGCCCAGGCTAGAGTGCAGTGGCATCAGCCTAGCTCATAGCAACCTCAAACTTCTGGGTTCAAGTGATCCTCCTACTTCAGCCTCTGGAGTAGCTGGGACAACAGGTGCCTGCCCCAATGCCTGGCTAATTTTTTTGTGTTTTTAGTAGAGATAGAGTCTTGGTCTTGCTTAGGATGGTCTTGAACTCCTGAGCTCAAGGGATCCTCCCACCTTAGCCTTTCAGAGTGTTAGGATTACTGGCCATCAAACTCTTAATACACTCACTTAACCTAGCTTTATTTAATTATTTACTTATTTGATATAAAGTCTCACTTTGTCACCCAGCCTAGAGTGTTGTGGAGTCATAACTCACAGCAACCTCAAACTCTTGGACTTGAGCAATCCTCTTGCTTCAGCCTCCCATGCTGGGACTATAGGTGTGCACTAAGCCTGGTTAGTTTTTCTATTCTTGGTAGAGATGGGGTCTCACTCTTGCTTAGGCTGGTCTCCAACTCCTGAGCTCAAACAATGTACCTGCCTTGGCCTCCCAGAATGCTGGGATTACAAGTGTGAAGCACCGTGCACACCTCTAGTTTTTTCTTGGAGTCTATCTTCAATAGCTCTCCTATTGGTCTACTCCAGTTGAACTATACCTTTATGTGCTCTAAGTCTTATTCATTGAATTTCTCTTGCATTCCTGAAAGATAGTTTTTTGGGGGTGGGTATGCAAATGTTAAGTCAAAGTCATCTTCCTTAAAACCTTGAAGATAGGCTTGGCGCCTGTAGCTCAACCGGCTAAGGCGCCAGCCACGTACACCTAAGGTGGCGGGTTCGAATCCCCAGCCCGGACCCGCCAAACAACAATGATGGCTGCAACCAAAAAATGGCCAGGCGTTGTGGCGGGCGCCTGTGGTCCCAGCTACTTGGGAGGCGGAGGCAGGAGACTCGCTTGAGCCCAGGAGTTGGAGGTTGCTGTGAGCTGTAATGCCACGGCACTCTGCCCAGGGGGACAGCTTGAGGCTCTGTCTCAAAAAAAAAAAAAAAAAATAAATAAAAAACCTTGAAGATATTTCTTTTTTTTGCAGTTTTTGGCCAGGGCCGGGTTTGAACACACCACCTCCAGCATATGGGGCCAGCGCCTCACTCCTTTGAGCCACAAGCGCCACCCCCTTTTTTTTTTTGAGATGGAATTTCACTCCATTACCCTCAGTAGAGTGCCGGAGCGTCACGGCTCACAGCAACCTCCAACTCCTGGGCCCAGATGATTCTCTTGCCTCAGCCTCCCGAGCACCTGGGACCATAGGCACCCACTACAACACCTGGCCATTTTTTTGTTGCAGTTTGGCTGGGCCTGGGCCTGAACCCACCACCCTCGGTATATGGGGCCAGTGCCCCACCTACTGAGCCACAGGTACCGCCTAAAGATATTTCTTTATTGTGTCCTAGCTTTCTGTATTGCTGAAAGCAGTAACAATATGCTTTTTTATTTTTATTTTTTAGACAGAGTCTCACTTTGTAACTCTTGGTACAGTGCTGTGGCATCATAGCTCACATCAACCTCAAACTCCTTGGCTTAAGCGATTGTCCTGCATCAGCCTCCCAAGTAGCTGGGACTACAGGCGCCTGCCACAATGCCCAGGTATTTTTAGAGATGAGGTCATGCTCTGGCTCAGGCTGGTCTCGAACCTGTGAGCTCAGGCAATCTACCCACCTCAGCCTCCCAAGTGCTGGGATTATAGGCATGAGCCACTGTGCCCGGCACAGTATGCTTTCTTAAGTTATTTGTCTTTCCTTTCTCCTGATTGTTAGGATTCTGCTGTGTCTAGATGTGAATTTAAAAATTAGTCCTGGGCGGCGCCTGTGGCTCAAAGGAGTAAGGCACCGGCCCCATATGCCAGAGGTGGCGGGTTCAAACCCAGCCCCAGCCATACACCACCCCCCCAAAAAAATTAGTCCTGACATGAAGGCTATGTTAACCAGTTTGATGAAAATATTTCAGATTATATATAGAACTAGCACACTGTACCCCAAGACTGCATTAATGTACACAGCTATGATTTAATAAAATAAATAAAATAAAAAATAAAAATCAGTCCTGCTGGCGGTGCCCGTAGCTCAGTGGGTAGGGCGCCAGCCACATACACCCAGGTTGGCAGGTTCAAACCTTGCCCGGTCCAGCAAAACAACAATGACAATGGCAACAACAACAAAAATAGCTGGGCATTGTGAAGGGCACTGTAATCCCAGCTACTTGGGAGACTGAGGTGAAAGAATTACGTAAGCCCAAGAGTTTGAGGTTGCTGTGAACTGTGATGTCATAGCACTCTACTGACAGTGACATAGTGAGACTCTGTCTCAAAAAAAAAAAAAATTAGTCCTGCTTAGTGCTATGTTTCTTTCTTCATGTTGGAAAAAGCAGTCACAATCTCTCCCAACTCCCCTCTCAGCGCCTTTTGCCCCTGGAGCTCCTCAGATTCACCATGGAGCCCCCAGAGCCCTACTCCTTGGTCAGTGCCCAGCCCTGTTTCTTAGCTATAGCTTTTGCTAGCATATCTTGGGGAGATGTCCCCACTGTGGCATTACATTGAACGCAAATGGTGGTGGGATTTTATGTTATTTATTTAATTTTTTTTGAGACAGAGTCTCACTTTGTTGCCCTTGGTAGAGTGCATGGTATCATAGCTCACAGCAACCTCCAGCTCTTCGACTTAGGTGATTCTCTTGCCTCAGCCTCCTGAGTAGCTGGAACTACAGGTGCCCACTACAATGCCCGTCTATTTTTTTGGTTGCAGTTTGGTTGGGGCCAGGTTTGAACCTGGCACCCTTGGTATATGGGCCCGGTGCCCTACTCACTGAGCCACAGGTGTCCCAGATGGGGGGATTTTAATCTTTTTTTTTTTTTTTTGAGACAGAGCCTCAAGCTATCCCCCTGGGTAGAGTGCCATGGCTTCACAGCTCACAGCAACCTCCAACTCCTGGGCTCAAGCTAGTCTTCTGCCTCAGCCTCCCAAGTAGCTGGGATCACAGGCCCCTGCCACAATGCCTGGCTATTTTTTGATTGCAGCCATCATTGTTGTTTGGCGGGTCCGGGCTGGATTCGAACCTGCCACCTTAGGTGTATGTGGCTAGCACCTTAGCCACTTGACCCACAGGCACCGAGCTGGGATTTTAATCTTAATTTTTTATTTCTAAGATTCCTAGTTGGTTCTTTTTCATAACCTCCTGATTTAGTGAAGGTGCTGCTGCAGTGGGGCCCAGTTAGTGTGATGGCTCCTGCTCCTGCTCTAAGGACAGTTCTTTTTTTTCTTTTTTTTTTTTTTGGAGAGACAGTCTCTTTGTCACCCTCAGTAGAGTGTCATGGTGTCACACAGCTCGTAGCAACCTCCAACTTCTGGGCTTAGGCGATTCTCTTGCCTCAGCCTCCCAACTAGCTGGGACTACAGGCGCCCACCAAAACGCCCAGTTGTTTTTTTTGTTGCAGTTTGACTAGGGCCGGGTTTGAACTCGCCACCCTCGGTATATGGGGCTGGTGCCCTACCCACTGAGCCGCAGGCGCCACCCAGTTATTTTCAATATCCTTAACTAGGTGTCCCATTTCCCAGGTTGCTCCACTCTTTGGCAGGCTGGTCTTGCTTAGAAACAGTGTCATCCTCTACAAAGAGGGCATCACCTGTGGGAGTCCTCCCTGGTGTAGAGGGGAATGCAGGTGACCTCTACCCAGCTCAAGAGGGTCTAAGCACAGCCACTACCAGGTTACCACTTGAGTCCCAGTTTAGTCCTCAGCTTTAGGCAGCTGGACAGTGCCAATACAGCCATGTGGCTCTGACTCAGACCCTCTGTAGGTCACTGACTTTGTCCCTTTATCATCTTGGGTGTCCTTTTTTACTTATTTTAGAAATACATCTGTTTTTTCTTATCCAGGGACATTTTCTTTGCCTTTTCTTTTTTTCTTTTGAGACAGAGTCTCACTCTGTTGCCCCATGCTAGAGTGCCATGGCATTATAGCTCACAGCAACCTCAAATTACTGGGTTCAAGCAATCCTCCTGCCTCAGCCTCCAGAGTAGCTAGAACTACAAGTGCTGGCCACAAGGCCTCACTAATTTTTCTATTTTTAGTACGGGGTCTCACTTTTGCTCAGGCTGGTCTCAAACTCAAGCAATTGTCCCACCTTGGCCTCCTAAAGTGCTAGGATTACAGGTGTGGGCTACCACACCCAGCCTTCTTTGCCTTGTTTGAATGTGGCTATGCATTTAGAACCTTTTTCCTGTTTAGGTGTTTGAAGCAGAAAGGGGGGGCGGTTCAGTGTCTGGTCCTTCCTCCAAAATACTAGATCCAAATAACTAAGCATAAATAATTTTGCCACAGTGTTTCAGATATGCACTTTCCCCACCTATTTCTAAATTGGGCTTCAGGATATACTCAGGAGGCGGAGAAGCTCAGAACACCAGCTACATGCAGTATTGCAAAATAAATTTATTTGAAGATAAACTATCTTATAAAAGGCCAGAGGCAATTTAAGATTCCCAGATTCAGCTTGTCTCATAAAAAGATTCAACTTCAAGTAGCACAATTTTGTGTCTGTTTTTAATCCTGAACATTCTTGAATCACGAACAGCCAACTGTTTACACAACTAATGTGACATCTGACTCCAGCACCAGTGGACAACTTTCAGGCTTGGGGCCGCAGTTGCAGCAGCCCTCTGATTCTGGAGGGCCTAGATCAGGCCATTGTGACCTCTGACTTTCACGACAGGACAGGTCTCAGCACCCCAACCCTACCCTCCCTTGGTACCTTCCAAAAGCATGAGAGTACAAACCAAACCAGCCCACTCCTGAGGCAGGTGATGGAACTTCTGAGTAATAGTGTGCTGATGGGCAGGGTGGACCTCCCTGGTGACTCCCTGGTAGGCCTGGCCAACCAAGAGGCCTGAGCAGGCAGCCTCACCTGACTACCTGGCTGCCTGGCAGCCAGGAGGAACAAGGAAGGAGAAAGGATGCTCATAGGTGTAATGGCTCCTGTCCATGCCGGCAGGAGCTACGTGATGATCCTGGCAATGGCTTGCAGAGAGGGGAAGTCATCGTCCCGGGCAGCATGCAGCGCCTGGTGGCTGCTGACATCACCATGAGCAAGTACCTGCTGGCAAGTAGGGCACACACAACAATCCAGCCCCACCTGCCGGGTGTCAGTCTGCCATGCACTCTTCTTGTTCTTCTTGGACTTGGTGCTGGGAGGCTTCTCACGACTGCGGAAGTCAGTATGTGCAGACAGCAGCTCCTGCTGCTTGGCTGTGTCAGGCAGCAACACCAGCAGCTCGTTAAAGATCTTCTGGAAGTTCTCCCCAAGCAGGTCCCGGCAACTTTTGTAATACTGGGCAGCAGAGATCACTCCCTGCCACCCAGAGAGCCAGACTCAGTCACTCCCATCCCAGGCCTGGTCGTAGACAGATGGGCTGGCCACCCACATCCCTGGCCTCCTGACCTGTCTGAACTCCCCCGAGTGGCTCTTGAACTTGCTGAAGCAGGCCTCGTCGCTCTGCAAAAAATCCTTGATGGACTGGATGAGCTGCAGGTTCCTCTCCCGAAAGTTCTCAGGGACCAGGTAGGCCCGTGGTATGGGTGGTAGCCTGGGCCTAGGGTCAGGAGATAAAGATGTGGTAGAGGTGTCAGCTTTTAGGGTGGCCCAAGTGGAGGGCACCCTCCCCCCAGGCCCCAGTGCCATAGGACTAGGCGGCCCAGCTACACTTACGCTTTTGTGGTGTTGGTAGGGCTGGGGACGCAGGCTGTGTGGGGGCTGGGCAGGAGCCCTGAGAAGCCAGGGGGTGGCTTACTGACGGGGGGCGCCAGACCTGGTGGGGGTGGGGGTGGTGTAGGCTTCACAAGCACCACAGTGTTGAAGCCTGCAGAGGCAGTAGGACAAGACCTGGAATGTGACCCTCACTGGACACCATTCCCATAGGCTGCCCAGCCCAGAGTCAGACTCTGCCCATGGGCCACATCTTGCTCTGCAGAGCAGGCTCAGGGCCAGCACCCTGCCTACATTAATTCATATGACTGCAGACCTAAAGGATGCTACAATCTCCTGTTTCATGGAGAGGAAAGGGACACAGTGCAGTCAAGTGACATGTGCAGTCAAGAGGTGGCTCAAGGCCATGAGGGTTGCAGATGGCTGCAGCCTGCACATCCTAATGGATTGCTGGCTACAGATTGCTGGGAGGTAGGACATGGGTTTCCCTGCCCTCCTTGTCTCAGGCCTATTGGCTGTGCTCCTATCTGCACCCATGGACTCTAGCTGCACTCTACTTCCCTGGTCTCATCCTGATGTCCAAGAAACAGGCCTGAGCCCAGTGCACATACCTGGGGGAGGCGGCATCCGGGGTGGGCAGGGGCCACCTAGTGCTGGGAAGTCGTCTTGGGGTGTGGGGCAGGGGAGGGGCCCCAGGGGCCTTGGGAGCCCAGGGGGTTCCTTGGGGGTGCTCCGTGCCAGGGATAGGCCCTCTGCGTGTCCATTGACGATACCAACTGGCCCTTCGGCTCTGCTGGTGGGAATGTCAGGGGCCTGCTCAGCCCCAAGGGACTTTGGGGTACAGCTGAGGGGCAGTGGCTGGGGCGATGTGGCACTGGGCTTCTCAGAGCCCACCTTCTTCTTCTTGCCGATTTTGGAGGTCTGGGTGGAGGTCTGGGTGGAGGCTGGCCCCAGTGGGGAGGAGACAGAGACTATGGTGTGCACACTCCGCAGCTCCTGCCCTCTCTCCTCCTCCTCTGTGGCGGGTGGGCCACCCTTCTTGCCCCTGCTCCCCTTCCCAGCCTTCCTGGTGGGCTGGCTGCCCCCACCAGCAGCCTGGGCTGCTGGGCTGGGCTGCACCATCTTCTTGCTGCAGTTGCTGTTCCAGGCAGAGATGAGGCTGGTAGGGGCAGCGGCAGCACTGGGCTTGGAGCCTGAGGACACCAGGGCAGGAAAGTCCTCTTCCTGGAAGGTGTTCCTGTCTCTGGGAATAGGGTACACGAGCGCCAACCCTACAGGGCCTGGGGCTGTTGCTGTGGAGCAGGAGGAGGATGTGGAGGCAGAGAGACTGGGAAAGTCTTCATCCTTGAGCTTGGGGGCAGGTGATGGGAGGGTGCTAAGTCCAAGGAGGAGAAAGGTAGTTAGTGGCTCACCAGGCCCCAGCCTGCTCCACACCTGCCCACCTACCACCTGCAGGGGCCCTGCCCAGCCCCCTGGACACATACCTCATGGGGGAAGCTCCTGTTGCGAAGGTCTCTTGGCTTAAGGGACCATTTGTTGAGGTTTCCCTGGCACCTATGAAAAATCAAGGACCCCAGGTCAGGCATAGGGATAGGTGCTCCCCATTGCCCAGTAGAGGCCGTGATGGTCTCAGACACTGAGGTCCTCATGAACCAGCCTCCTTCCCCCAGCCTAGGCAGGACTGGCTCACTTGGGCCTTCGCCCTGAGTCCGGAGCATACGCCGGGGACCACGGGGCTCTTCAGATCCCCGAGCTGCTGTCTCCTCCTTCTTGGGCCTACTGCCCTCCTCCCGGTCTTCACTCCTGCGAGTCTCCTCCTGTTGCTGTGCAGCCACTGAGGCCCGGATGACAGCTGCCACTTCTCGGTCCTCTTCTTCCCTGCGGTGGGGAGGCTGGCCTTCAGGCTGAGCAAGGCGCAGGACCACAGCTTCAGGCGGGAAGAGCTTGGGCCTAAAGCCTGGGGTAGCAGCTGGGACCTCCTGGGCTAGCACAATTTGCACTGACCTCTCAAGTGACACAGACCCTCTTACCCACCCCAAACCACAGGCTGTGGCTAAAACTACAGAAAAGAGGAAGAAACTCCTGCCCCCAAAGGGCACTGAGCAGACCTTGCTGCCATACTCAGTACCAGAAACTCTGGCCAAAGTCCCCTAAGCCCATGCCTATCCCAGTTCTGCTGCCAGCCAGGTGGTGCCAGGAGAAGGTCAACGGCACACAAATCTTCCTACCTCTTGTACCTCCAGCTTCCTCGGCGGCTCTGCTGGGCTCCACGTGCACCAACCCGGCCCATGCGGCTGTACCTGTCCACCTCCTCGTAGTCCTCACCTCCAATGACCCCTGCAACCAGCAGACATCCTGTCACTGCCCCTGGCCCTGGAATGGCAGGAGTGTCTGAGGCCAATGCTTAGGCTCAGACAGCAGAGACTTCCCAGCACCCCCATGGCACATGGACTTGGGGCAAGGCAGACACCTTGGAGAGTCCACACCAGCCATAGACCTATATGACCTACATGCCCAGTCACAGCCTCCTGACCCAGGAGAGAGCCCCATGGACTCCAGATCAGCAGACACAAGGCATCGCAGGAGAAAGTGTTCCCAGCCTTCACCACCATGTTCCATGCTCACAGCTCATCCACTGGTGAAAAGGTGGAGGTTCCATGGGTAACCCTCATCTGCTGCTAAACCGTGGTGAGCTGATTCCAGACCTAGGTCTGAAGCCCCCAGAGCAGGGCGCTGGCCATGTGACCTCCAAGCACCCTGCTCACCCTCATTCCGGCGTGAGTGGCGTGGTGCATAGATGAACTGTAGGTCAATCTGGCGATTCTGGCGGGCCTCAGCACGACTCCGGCTGTGGCAGGCTGTCCTGTGTGCCTTGAGGTCGATCTCAGTGCGGAAAGCATGCGTGAACTGCTCTGTGCTACAGCGGCCCTCCTCACATAGGAAATGCTTCTCCCGGAAGTGCTCTCTCAGGTATGCATAGTCACTGGAGGGGGGACAGAGTGTTAGCAGGAGTCCAACCAGCCCCACACCAAACCAGGGCTCTAGGGGAGGGCTGCTTCTGTCCCCCTCACCTACCTGTAGTAGTCCTGGGCCCCATCTGCATCACAGAAGTGGCAGAAGTAGTGGTCACGGCGCAGGTGCTTGAGAAGCTCATCATTGTCTAGGTAGCGCTCATCGCAGAACTTGCAGAGTGGGTGCCCACGATGTGATGTGTCGTCAGGGTCCCCCTGCATGCGGTGCCGAGCTAGGTCCTTGCGTGAGTACCACTTGCGTTCATATGTGAAGATCTGCAGGATAAGAGGGGCTGGGCACAGGGCAGGGCACCCTAGCCTCCCATCTATTCCCAGGGGCCAGCATAGAACAGCAAGCAGGAGAGGGCCTTGATGGCACCATGTACCCCACCCCCCATCTCCTAAGCCCTGGACACTAAGAGCCTGGTGGGCCCCTTCAGCCACCAGAAGCTCCTCCCTGCTCAGGTCATGTGATGCCCTGGGAGACCTGCCTAAAGCAGCTACGAGCCATCCAGGATCAGAGGCAATGTATGGACAAGCCTCTCATGGCTGATAGTTCCATCTCCTGTACCACCACTAGTGTGGCTCTTCTGGGGTCCCTGGGGGTGCACCTGAAGGTGTTGGAGACATAGCCGGCAGCAGAAGAGCTCATGCTGCTTCCTCATGTGCTGCTCCAGGTCCCCGAAGAGGCTAAAGGGTGGCAGCTCTGGGCACCGCGGGCACTCATGCTGCAGCAGCTGCCTGGGGAGATACCAAGAACCACCCACTATCCCTGGACATTCACCAGGAGTAGGACCACTCAGCAGGCCTTCAGGCCCACAGCCCAGGCCAGACACAAGCAAGACCATGAGCGGGGTCGATCTGAGACCCAGAAGACAATGGCTAAGCCCAAACAGGACCTGGGTCAGAAGCCCTGATTCTATCCCAGCCCAACCCGTCCCCTGGAAAATGGGGATCAACCCTGTAACAACTGCATTTTCATGGGTTTTTGGGCCATAGGCTAAAGCCTGACTTATAAGAGCTCATGTACCCCTCAGAATCCCAGAAAGCAAATGCTGTACCCACACTGCTCACCACCTCTACTTCTACGTATGGGGGCAAGGTGAGCACCCTGGTCACAGGAGAAAAACTCAAAACTCACAGATGTCACACAGCTCGTCCTTGGAGGCTGAGGCGGGCACCTGGCCCTGACATCAGATGCACCAAATACATCACCCTAAGTCTCCTCAGAGTTGTAAGGAGCAATGGAGGTACTCCCATCCCCACCACAAAGGTCCACACAGATGCAGATGGCTATAGAGACCCTCGGACTCAGGGCCTGAAGATTCCCCTCACCTGTACAAGGCAAACACTTTTCCATCTGCAAAGTAGATGTCATACTTCTTTTCATGCTGCAGTTGGTGGAGGGGGATGGTGGCAAAGGCAGGAAGCTTCTTCCCAAAGACCACCTAAAAGTGAAGCCACAAGTGAGTGTGTGGTAAGCAGGGCTGCAGTCTCTGGGCACACCACTGAGGCTCAGAAGAGGAGCTACTCAGAGAACCTGGTGAGCAGCGGCCATTAGTGCCCAGGCCTCCTTTCTTGGTACCAGACTACCTTCCTGGGGTTGCCAGGCAGAAGACAGAAATATGATGCTCAGCCTTTCCACTAGGCAGCCAGGAAAGTCCCAAGGTAGCCACCCCATGGGAAGCAGACTAGCTTTCTCCTGGCTTTCACAGGAGAAGAGACTCATTCCAAGCAGCCTCTAAGGAAGTAAGGCTGCCAGCCATGATGTATCAGCTGACCACATATCAAGGCCTGGCCACCCTCATCCAGCGCCCCCTCCCCTGCATTTCCATGATACCACAGAGTGAGGACTCTACCACAGGACTAGCATCTTGAGCCAATCACCTTGGTCCCACTCCTTGTCTGTTGTTCTGAACTGTCTAGGATACCTTGGGGACCAGCTGATGGTACTCAGCAGGGCTGGCACAGATACCCACAGCCAGGGCCCATTTCTCAGAGGTCTCCAGTATCTGCTGGAGCCTGGCTGCTCAAAGACTCCTCTCCTGTCCCTTCCTGCAAGGGCAGGAGGCAAGGCCTTATGGCATGCTACTCTATCCCTAATATAGCCTGGGGTCCCTGCTGGTTCTGGAAACCCCCCCAGGGCTCCCTCACCCTGTAGTACCCCTTTTTCTCCATGAAGCTCCTCTGACGAGGACCCTCACTGCCATCACATTCCTCCTGGGATCAAGCCCTTCAGTGGCTATCTTCTCTCCACTTGGCACTGCCCCTGAGCCTGGCACTGGTCACCTGCCTCAGAGTTCACAAAGAAGCTCCGAGGCCTCACTAACAGTTAGTTAGAGGACATCCTTACCTTGGGAAATGTCACGTCAAGGTCATCTCTGTTATGTTTGGCCTTTAGGACATTTGTGACCAGAATAGCCATCAACTCGGGAGAGTGAGCCTCATATATGCTTGTGGTGCTGGGGTGGCCTCACCCTATTCCCAGCAGCAGAGTAGTTAAAGATGGTTCCCCAGGAGAGTCAGAGAAGAATCAGGAGAGCTCACCTCCACTTTTGCCATGATATGGAGAGAGAGTTAGGAGACCCATAGCTACCCCTCAATACCACCTGTTAGGAGCTGGGGGCACCATGACCTAGCCACACCATTCTAGAGGATCTGGCGTAGATGGGCAGTGGCCCTGACCTTTCTCATTCTTGCCATCATGTCAGGCCGGGTGGGGTAGATCTGGCTACTTGTCTCATCCCAGGTGGGTGCCTCATCCCCTCCTATGACCTTCCTCAAGTGGGAGGCACAGTCTGTCCAATCACAAAAGATGTGGGCCCACAGGAACAGTACTACCTGCCCCTGACTTTCTTCCTTCCTAGCAGCTCCCCCCAGGCCAAGTGTGGGGAAGGTTCCTGGTCTTTGCTAGCCTCTTCTCATGGGTCCTGCCCTCCCAAGGCGAGCTCACACGCAGCCCTGCCTCCCAACCTCCCCAGCCCAGACCCTGGCAGGCGCACATGGCCCCTGGTGCACTGCCTGCTGGGACTCACAGGCACTCAACAGTGCCACACCCCACTGCAGCTTCTCTGAGGCAGCACAAGCAGCAGATCCAGGAGCCCTGGCGTCTGCCTGTAAAGCAGCCAGAAGAGCAGCCGCGAGGGAACTCCATGAGGCTGCCAAAAAACATCCAAGCTCAACAGACTCAGCAGAGGGAGGAACAACTTCCTTCCCCAGAGGAAATCTGTGCCAGGGTGCCCCCTTGGTGCCTCTGCCTCAGTGCCCCTCCTCTCAGCTGTGTGTTCCACTCCGCCCTGGGTGACGTCTCTTCAGGCTTCATGGAGACAGGCCAGGACATGGCTACAGGGAGGAGACTCATTTCCTCGTGGACTATGGGCGGGCCGCAGGGCACCCGTACCATGTATCTCCTCAGAGTACTGCCTGTGTATAGGTGCAGTGCCAGGTCACACTCGGGTCACTGGATACTTGTCTGTCTTTGCCACTCTATAGTCCCTGGCGCCCAATTCCCCAAGCAATGCCTGTACACTGCAAGCCCATAAGAAACCTCTGTGGGACCTCACTGGTGGGACAGGTGGACTTGTAGTCAGGACAGCTTCTCTGAGGGGACAAGGAAGCAGCAGAGAAGAGGTGAGGAGGCTGGGCAGGAAGGGTCAACAGTGCCCAGCAGGAAGGACCCTAGAACAAGAAGACTGAGGGCATCAAGGTACACAGCCAGGAAGCCAAGCCTGCTGTATTACGCCAAGGGTGCTCCTCATGCCATCAAGGCAATAGGACCAGAAGAACCTGAAGCAGGCACAGGGTAGGGGTTTTGGGAATCCATCTGCACAGTGGGCAGGACAGGCAGTCTGGTAGGGAGGTCCTGGGCAGTCTGGTAGGGATACCCCAGGTTGGTTCAGCTGAGCTAGCTGGGAGATAAGAAAAGAAGGTCTTGGCTCAGCGCCTGTGGCTCAAGTAGCTAAGGCGCCAGCCACATACACCTAAGGTGGTGGGTTCGAATCCAGCCCGGGCCCGCCAAACAACAATGACGGCTGCAACCAAAAAATAGCCAGG